TCTCTCTCTCTCTCTCTCTCTCTCTCTCTCTCTCTCTCATTCACTCATTCACTCATTCACTCATTCACTCATTCACTCATTCACTCTCTCTCACTCTCTCACTCTCTCACTCTCTCACTTTCTCACTCTCTACTGTCCTATTATATTATTATTATTCATATTTAAACCCGATTTTTAAATTTTTTATACATTGCTTGTCACCAACAGATTAATAGACCTAAATGCGCTGGGAACTAAGGTATGTACTTTAATAGCTAATGAATTTGAAACATTTACACTCTGGTCACTATATAATAATTAATAATTTTTGATATGTTCTAAATCTGTAGTTTTGACCAGAATCAAATTATTTACAATACATACTTAATTCAATATAATACAAAATGAATGTCATAAATAATATGTACAGTATACACGAAATATATATTCTATGAACAGTGATAGATTTATAAAAATCCTTAAAATTAAGTTTATTTTTAATATACAAAATAAATAATGAAAACGATGCAATTGATTGTGGCGACACCTTGTAACTCGATTCGTCAGTATTGAATATTATGATGCAAGCGTGTTCAATTTTGGTTATATGCGCATGCTACATAAAAAATTTTCCGAGGGTATAAAGTCTAAAAAATTTTAGTTGATATTTTTAGACTTTATACCACTCGGAAAATAATTGCCAACCAAGATACAATCGGATAAATTATTATATTATATATAAGATGCTTAAATAGCGTTTACAACAATGGCTATATAAACATAATATAAAATTTTGTGTTATAATTTTTATTGCTTAATAAAGTTGATAAAAAATATTTCATAAATTCATTTTTAAATTAAATTAATATATATGGTATTTATTTGTAAATTTTTATATTACTATAAATTCTGCACTTAACTATTTAGTGTTAAATGTTAATTAATTAAATTTTAATTAATTTTTAGTTGAATAGTTATAAACCTAATTATTAACTTATGGGTAACTTAAAAAAATTATTACTTAATATTATTAATTATAAATTGTTTTTAGAAATGAGTTCTAATAAATCCAATAATTATCTAAATTTATAATTGTTGTAGTGGTTAATATGGTGTTAGTAAATACTTGTAATTTTTAAGTAATACAAGCTAATTTATTAAGTAAAATTAATGTAAGGAGGTTCAAGGGCAATATGTTTTCTTTTTAATTTTAATTATAAATATAAAATAATTTAACTTAAAATTTTTATTTAAAATAATTATTGTTTAAGTCTGACAATTTTTTAGATAATGTCAATCTAAGTTTTTAAATTAAAAGTTTTACAAGAATAATTTTTAGTAGTTAACTTTTTTAACAGGGTATTTACTTTAATATTTTCATCCTGTTATATATTATAGATTGTGAACTAAATTAACATGCACATAAATAGTATTAAATTTTATTACGTTTATACAAATGAATCATTTACTTATAGGATGTTTGTGTATGCACATTTATCAGAATTAATTATTTTTATCAATATTGTAGAAATTTTCTTAATTATTTTAATAATTTGCTAATAAATTATGGTACTGTAGTTGCCCTCCTAAGTGCAATAGTTAACAAAATGATTATCCTTTAAATTATAATTAATTGATTTTTAAAATGCACTTGCCCATGTCGCAATAAATTTGCAATACTTTACTTTACAATAATGAAATAAAAATGTTATATGTTTATATTATTTTATTAGTAGATATCATCGTTTAATTGTAAAAGATTATTTTGAAAACTATTTTAATATTGTATTATATTGTGACATAGCAAATGTTTATAGAAGTACTAAAATTATAAAATCATTAAGTGCCCTCGTAAACTAAATGATTTGTAAACATAAAACATATATTATTTGATTATGGATTCATAAATATTTTATTGACTTTGTTAGATGTACAATTTAAGTTTTATATTAAAGTACATTATTTTAAAAATTATATGAAATAGATTTAAAAATAATTATTAATTATAAATAATTAAAGATTCCACATTATAAAGCCAATCAAATAAATTTAAATCTTATTTTAAATATAATATATTTTGCAATTTATTTTATAAATTAATATAATACATTAAATAGTACTATTAATTTTTAAATCACAATTTACAAATTTAATATATTTATAAATCATTTATTTTCAAGATCATTTGATAATGTGTACTCTAACCAATGTACAGTATATGATTTTAATATTTATATTATTATTATTATTATATTAACTAAATACAATTAAATTCACGTATTCGCAATGAAATCATCATACTTATCAATGGCATTAAAACTAATCATACCTAAACTTAATAGTAATTAATTAATTAATTAACGCCCTACAATATTAAACCAATTCCAGGTATTTATAGTGAAAGGTACATTATGAGACAAAAAACTGCTATAAAGATTACACACATTAGTCTTAATAAAAATAATTTATTTTATAATTACATCCTTATCATTCGCAATGTATAACAATTAAATTGTTTTATATTTATATTAAACTAGCAAATAAAACTAAAAGTTTTGTCTAAAATAAACTCATTTGTATTTGTAGTTTTGGTGGTGTTTGGTATCATTTAGTTTAGTTTTTAATTGTAATGCATAGTAGATAGGTAGTTATTTAGTTAAAAATTAGTGTTTATATTTTATAAGTTAGCAATGAACTTGTTAATTGTGTGGACATGTGTGCTGGCCACATGTTTAACCGCCTACCTAGATGCAAGTACAATCAATAGGACGGGTGCTCAGGTAAAATTTGTTTTAATAATTATTATAACATTTATTCTAGATTTAATAATTTATAATATAATTAGAATTAGAATTACTAACAACAAATTTAAAAAATTTTTTTTAATAAAGATCTAATTTGTCTGTGTTCATTAAGTAATGATTTATTATATTTATTAGTCACGGGCCGACCCAAATACCTTGGTCAAAGTCCAAATTTTCTATAACCCAATGAGCGCTGCAGCAATAAGCTTAATTAAATTAAATGCACAAAGTGGCGATCAAAGTTTATATGATCTAATGGTACCCAAAGCATCAGGGGAGGCATCCTACGGGGTTGAGGTTGACTTTATACCCTGGGGCACGAGTCAGCGTGAGATCAACCCGGATGGCACAATTAAATATACTTGCACCAACGATGCTGACTGCCTGGGCACTAGGTTACACGTAAGTTATCATAATTTTTATATATTACATTTAGTTATCATAATAATGAATAATCCAAAATTTTTCAATATTGTAGGCCTGCATTGCCCGTAACCACGTGTCGCTGTACCAGAATCACCACGAGTTTTTCATGGTGGTGTGCACCGGTAGCCAGGCCGATTGGACAACCAATCCCCTGGGAAAAGTGATCTCGTGCTCAAACACCATACCCGACGCACCCGACTATCCCGACGAGGGCGTGGGTCTGGACATATGCGGCCGAAAGGACAACTCCGATGGTAACGCCTACTTGGAGGAGGTTATAGCCGCTACTGACACCCTGTACCCGGAATTTTCTGCCGGTAATATACTTTTTTTTATATCTATTGAATTTTTATTGAATTCAATTTCAAAATGGACATTATCTATTTTTATTACTCTTATTTTTATTTTAATATTAGGGTGACTAATAGCAAAAATATTTAATTTAGTTATATATCTAAAATATTTATTAAATGTAATAAACTAAATGAGCATTTTTTTTATTAAGTATAGTCAATTTAGTTTGTTATAAAATTTTCTAAAACTAGAGATAATAATTATAAAACAAAATTTTATTATTATTTTGCAATTAATTAATACGTTATTTTGTAATATAAAATAAATTTATTTTAAATAGCAAGCGACCCTCTCGTAATAATCAATGGCCGCGTAAACACCAACGCAAATGCCCAGTTAAAAACGGAAGTGTGCAAGGCTTATCCCGTAAGTAGTTTCTATTTCTATATTGCCCTGAATATGAACTTACATCAATTTTTATATTAATGTTTCAGGCAGATCAACGAGATGGTACCCCCTGTGAGGGAATAACAGGCACACCTGATACTAGTGATCCCACCCCGGTCCTAAGTGACACGGTTAAGGTGCAGGTGTACTACTCGCCATTAAGTCAAAAATCAGTCGACTTTATTAAATTGAACACGAGAGATAATAATAAGGGCATTTACGACTTATTGACCCCTGGTACACATGGAAATGCTAAATACAATATCGAGTTTGATTATATTCCGTGGGGTAGAGCGACTAGAATTCCCGATGCACAGGGTAAAAATGTCTATACCTGTCCGGAAGGAGACACCGATTGTCTGGGTACCAGATTGCATGTAAGTTTAACGGGGAATGACCTAGTAGTTTTGTTATTTTTTCTAGTAAAAATTGAATAATATTATAAATGGAGCACCTAAATAGATTAATAAATAGTTAATTAGATATTTTTAAAAATTCCCGGGGTAAACATATTTCATATATATATATAATTACATTAATTAATTTTTATAAAGTTAAATACTGTAAATAATTTAGCTGGTAAATGTTAATATGGTTGATATCACGCTATTACAACTAGGTTTAAATTCAATTCTAAATCATTTGATTGCATTATAGGCGTGTATAGCGCGTAACCACGTGACCCAGTACGAAAATCACCACGAATTCTTCATGGTCCTTTGCACGGCTATGGGCGATAACTGGAAAACAAACCCCTTGGGGGACGTCATAACCTGCGCCCGGAATGTGAACGACTTGCTGGATGACGGCCCTAGCCTTGAAATGTGCGCCAAAAACACCAATGACAATAGGTACCTCGATCAAACACTGGCCGCCACGGATATTGTGTACCCGGCAATTACCGACAGTAAGTAATAGTTTATATTAATGTTGCAGTCAATAAGTATATGACCGAGGTAAGGGATATGGGACGTGGATAAAAAAAAGGATTTGTTCAAGGCGTACATAGGACATTTCGATATTTTATATTTATGGGTATTAAGTAGTGGTGTGGGTAAATTAATTTTGTAATATTAATATATTACTCGCATTCTATGTAATTTGTATTTTTTAAAAGTCATAATTTGAACAAACATTACCAAATAATTTAGCAACATTTTAGAAATAAGTTTGTTTACTGGGTATAATTATAAATGTTTGAATATTTTAGTTATTTAAATTAAACAATATAATTAATTAATACACTTAATAGTAATAATAAATTTTTAAATAAAATAAAATTAACAATCTTAAAAATATTAATTTGTTTCTATAGCTAGCGACCCATTGGTTATCATTAACGGTGTGCGCAATGACAAAGCCCTGACAGACTTACGCACCGAAGTGTGCAACGCCTACACTGTAATATTAATAATCAAAACCAAACCATGATCATTTCTAAATCAATTTATATTAAATATTATACAGGGTGCTAGTAGACCAGCTGTATGCGATAAACCGTTAGTTAGGGTGCAGGTGTTTTACTCGCCATTTAACGACAAAGCAATCACCTTTATCAAACAAAATGTTCAAGGTGGTGCGACTGGATTATGGGACCTAATGCTACCCCAGGCGGGTACCGTAAAGAATTTGATCGAGGTCGATTTTGTGCCCTGGGGTCAGGCTAAACGTGAGCTGGTAGAAGGAAAGCAAGTGTATACCTGTGCCAATGCTGATACCGATTGTTTGGGCACCCGGGTGCACGTATGTATAATTTTTAAATTTTATTATTGTGTTAATACGTAAACTTATAAAACGACACGAATTTCTATAATATTTTTAAAAATCAGTAAGGTTTTTAATAGTTTTTAAAAATTTACTACATATCTAAATGTAATTTGTTAATGTATTGTGTTAAACACAATTAAGTTTAATATATTTCAGATTATATCTATCATATATAAATAAATTAGTTTAAAAATAGGCTTCGTAAAAAGTTAGGAATAAATAAAAACATAATTAATTTTTTGAATATTGTAGGCCTGCATTGCCCGTAACCACGTGTCGCTGTACCAGAATCACCACGAGTTTTTCATGGTGGTGTGCACCGGTAGCAATGACAATTGGAAAACCAATCCCCTGGGAAACGTGATCTCGTGCTCAAACACCATACCCG